TGTGTATTCACCTTTATTGTGTATATTTATTGATATTATGTTTAAATTAAGTAAATTATTATTGTTATGTAATCGGAAATCATTTTTTTTCTACTTTTTGTGGATTATTTTGTAAGAAATGTTACATATTTTTTTTTACTTATTTGTCTGTGATTTGGATTAACATTTTCAGTACAGTTGTGAAGTAAATCGGAAAATCATTAATTGTAGGTGATGGTAGCTTAAACTTAGATATAACTTATGAAAAATAGATTTAGGGTTTAAGGGTAAGTGGGTAAAAAAAATGCAATTTGTTTTTCATTGTCATAATTTTTTTTATTTAGTAATTATTTTCAATGGCAACTAATTAGTATGTAAAATTACGATTCGAGTACCAAAAGTATTAGTAAAATTACAGTTTTTAGGGGATTTGTTTAGGTAGTTAGTAAACCCTAATAGCCTTACAAATAAACGCGGTAAAGTTAAAGTTAGGAATAAACTGAGTATAAGCAAATATTAGTACAAATTTTGCTTATACTCAATTTATTTCTAAACTAGCAGTTACGTGCGGCTTCATTCGCATGAAATCGTGCTAATTTTATGTTATCGTTTACATTTGTCAATTTATCAATAGAAAATGTCAAAATGACATGACAAACCTTGACAGTCTTGCTTTGATGTTGGCAGCAACCTATGGTCTCTCTCCCACATTAGGATTTTTATCAGAAATATTTACCCCTTAGGTTTAATGGCGTGAAAATATATATCCTAAAGCGTGACGTAAGTGTAAGGCTTTTACAAAATGGCGCGTACACGCGGATGACGTCATCTCGACTCTGCTGCGCTGGTCGTTGTAGCTTGCCAAGCTGATCCCACTCACATGTTACAGCAGTCTTCTACTTAAATGTGCTCCTAACGTCCAACTTCTATAGCGTTAGTTTTTGCACCTTGTGAACTTGTTGGCAGCCGGCTCTCGGTATTTCGCTAATCCGGCTCGAAGGACCATGTTTAACTTGTTACCGACAGCGCGGCAGCCGAAAATACAAAACACTTTTTATCAAACTAACACACCTTTATTCAAAACTTATTTACACAAATATATATAAAACAAACTCAAAACTATCTGGATCACATCTTGACTTCTTATGCTTTTTTTTCTATATATTTTCTTTAACCAACGATAAATGCTTTGGTGGCCAGTATGCAACCTCTTTGGCTGTATACATACTGGTCGTTAGCCAAAGACCTTGTATTTTGCACTCAACAATTAAAGAAAAAACTATTCAAAAATATGGTGTAATTGCTGACATCTTAGGCAACAAAGTGAGTGTTTACGCTTTATTATAATAGGATAGATTTTATTTTATATGCGTTTATTTGTAAGGCGATTAATCGGGGATTAAATTAAACACTCATGTGACTGTATCGAATTGTTAAGAAACACAATATGTCTGTTTACACTGTCGAAACATTTGTAATGATCGTTCTATTAAAACTCGATAAGGGTGGGGTTTAGAAAAAGTCACTAAAGGTTTATTACTGTTCAAATTACGCGTATACAAGCTGTAGCACGCGACTTTTCATGTCAAATTAAGAAAAAAGAGCCTATGTTCTCTATCTCTGTACTCACAGATAAATTACCTTTCTAACGGTGAAAGAATTTTAAAAATCTGCTCAGTTTTTTGAGTTATTTCAATACATACAGAAATACAAACCTTTCCTCTTTACAATAGTATGGATAACCAAAGGGAAGTGAGGTCAAAAAGTTATTATTAATTAGACCCCCAAAAACATAATCTCAGTTAAATTTAAATAGAATACGTGTAAAATATGTGATGGTAATATCGAATTTCGTTACCTTATCTGTGACGTCATTAAGCTATCTGAGCCTCTATCAGCCAATGGTGGGACAGGCCCTAAATGTTTCGACAGTGTAAACTCACGGTTAAGTTTCAATGTTGAATGTACTCAATTCATTGCAGGTGCTATTTTGTTTTAAGGTTTATAGGCTTTTTTTATTTTAGTTCGGTGTCTGTTTTTAAGTGGAATTGAGATTTTTTTTTGTAATAATTTTCACAAGCGTATCATAAAAGAGACAGACTTTGGAATTTAATATTTTTATGTGAAGTCAAGTTCAATGGAAATGAGAAATTATACTTATTATACTTATCTAAATAACTTAGATCGTGAGCACACTTGAAACTAAACTATCGCACAACTGTTTAGTATTGCTTTAATTTCTATGACCAAACGAGGTGCGGACACTACTCGATGTTTAGTTGTGCAACTAAACAGTTGAATTGGCTGAAACAATCGTCAATCGCACGACGGTTGTACGATAGTTTAGTCATATGTGTTTGCAGTCTAAAACTGATTTATTTCAAAAATATGTCCATAGACAAAAAATAACATTGTCAGTGGCATTTCTCATTCAATTTTCAATCCCATAGAGAAAGATCAAATGCTTATAATTGTCAAAACACAATTGTAAAGACTTATTACCTTATTCCTGTTAGAACGTGCACCTTTGACTAAACTATCGCACATTTTTTTTTATAATATAAGTTGGCAAACGAGCAAGCGGCCTTCCACCGAAATGGAAAGCGACCGCTGCCCATAGACATCCGCAATTGCAGCGCTGCCTACCCTTCATTGACGTAGGAGACTCGCATAAAGACGAAATTTCTCCTTCCTATGAGTCTCTTTCACTGCACCATCAAAACCACTTTTCCTTCCCATCCTTTCCTCTTAAGTAAAGTATTGCGATTGTCGATTGTATCGCAGCCTTCAACTCTTTAGTTGCACAAGTAACAATCGAGTAGTGTGAGCATCTCTATAAGCTCAGAAATCAAAGCGTGACTAAACAGTTGTGCGATAGTTTTGTCAAAGGTGTACGCACGCTCTCAATGTTACTTAAAAACTACATTATTAGACATAACTTTTATGATATGTTCGTGAAATGTACGGCCGAACCCAATAATCGATATCGATCCATTTTTGATTATCCAAGGTAGCATTTTGAATCTTCAAACTTAACTGAACTAAGGAAGGTAGGCAGTAGAAAAACTTCGTCTTTTAGAATGCATTTACTCCATAACATGCAATTATAACCATACTGATATTTTAAATGAGAAAGTTTAGATGGATGGATGTTTGTTAGTGTTTGTAGCCTAAACGGATAAACTCATTTCGATGGTATAGATGTAGAGGATAGTCTGGAAGAAAACATAGGCTACTCACTTTTGTTTTTATTAATTCCATGCGGACGGAGTCGCGGGCGAAAGCCAGTTAAAATTTTTTGGATCGATCTTAGTTTGATTATTGGGTTCGGATGTTTATTGATTTGCGTCCAGTGCGTGTAAAATAATAGTTTTCTAGTAAATCAAGAATCA